ATTGTTGCTATATTTGAGCCCATTGTTGCAGTCACTGTATCAGTCCATCTCCTTGAGGGTCATTCTCCTTTTCACTGACCCTCTACTTTACCAAGCATGATATCCTTCTCCAGGGATTGATCCCTCCTGATAACATGTCCAAAGTATATGAGATGAAGTCTCAACATACTCAGTTTTAAGGAGTATTCTAGCTGTATACTTCCTCCAAGACAGATTCGTTCATTCTTCTGGCAGTCCATGGTATATTCATTATTCTTTGCCAGCACTATAATCCAAATGCATCAGTTGTTCTGTGTTCCTTATTCATTGTCCAGCTTTTGCATGCATATATGTCAATTGAAAATGCCATGGCTTGAGTTAGGTGCACTTTAGTCCTTAAGGTGATGTCATAGCTTTTTAACACTCTAAAGAGATCTTTCGCAGCATATTTGCCCACTGTAATATGTTGCTTGATTTCTTAACTGCTGCTTCCATGAGTCTTGATAGTGGATCCAAGGAAACTAAAAATCCTTATCAATTTCAATATTTTCTCCTTTTATCATGATGTTGCTTATATGTACAACTGTGAGGATTTTGCTTTCTTTACGCTCAACCTTTCGTTGAGGTGCCCCATACTGAGGCTATAGTCTTTGATCCTCATTGAAGTGGAAGCACTAAAGAAAGGTAATGGGAAGACTTTAACAATAATCTTAGCTTTGAGTTCTTGTGGGAGTTAGTTCCTGTAAATCCCTGGAGTGTTATGCATCACCACTGAACACACCTTAGATATTATCTACCAATTCAGTATCAACCATTATTATTCAGGATATAGAAATTGTTCTACTGGAGGTAACCAATGCATGCTATTATTTCTAAATAAAGTATGGTTTACCAGAATTTTAACTTATAACCATGAATATTACCCTCTATCTTCAGATCTTATTTCAGCAGGACTAGTTATTTGACAAGGCATTCATGTGGCTAAGAAACTCTGCTTCTTTTATTTCAGCTGCTGATAGATTTAACTGTCCTCTTTTTGAACATTTGCACATTTCCTGGCTTACTTGGAACTGGTACCATGTGGGATCAAAGACAACCAGAGACCCCGTATTAATTCTAATAAATGTTAAAACAAAAGTTAAGCTCCATTTTCTGGTTCCTGTTGTAACTGGAAAGAATAGCTCATTCACTAGAAGAAAACAAATTAAAAATTAGGAACAGTGTGCCTTATCTATTCCAAATGTGGATATAGGTATCTGCTTTGCTTCTCTCTAACTATACCATACAGCAAAGAAAATCACATTCAGTAACAGTCCTGGGACTTTCTCCTGGGTCTTCTGCTCCGGGGATGGAAATGGAAACAGCTGTCTTTACTGCCCAGGCCTCCCCTTGACCATAGCCTTTGCTTCCCCATTGATGTTGATAGGCCCATATTGATGAGCAGTGCCATTACCACTCCTGTGCCACTCTCCTTCAACCTCTTTGCTATTATGTATAGGTGTGTGCTGGTATCTGGGAATAATTTTACTTCAGAGGAGATGGAAAACATCTCAACATCACTTGGTGCTTGGCCCTCAAATGTTAGCATGAATTTTATTTCATGGACCATTTCATGAACTCATCTCAGAGTTCAGAAGTCTTATGCAGCCTTCTAGAATTACTGTTTTTTTTCTGCCTCAAATCACAGCCCCAAAAAAACAAACTCACTGCTGTGGAGTTGATTTGACTCATAGTGACCCCTGCTTGGGTTTCCGAGGTGGGATCTCTATGGAAGTAGATTGCCCAGTCTTCCTTCCGAGAAGTGACTGTAGGTTTGGACCACCAGCCTTCTGGTTAGCAATCTAATGCCTAGGCACTACACCCCCAGAGCTACCCCCATAACATGTAAATCTTTAACCAAGAAGCATAAAGGAACAATGGCAAAATAAAAACCTATATTAATTCCTACTGATGACAAAAACCAAACCAAACTCACTGCCATCGAGTCGAACCCGATTCACAGTGACCCCTCCCTGGGTTTCCGAGGCAGTATCACTGTGGAAGTAGATCGCCCAACCTTCCTTCCAAGGAGTGGCTGGTGGGTTTGATATGTTAAGTCCATGAGTGGCACACATAGTTTGCATTCAGCTAGTAACAAAGTTTGGAGGTTTGAACCCACCCAGTAGAACTGTAGAAGAAAAGACCTGGAGACCTGCTTCCATGTATTATAGCCAAGAAAACCCTATGTAACACAAGGGGTCTCCATGATTTGGAATCAACTCAGTGGTACAAGATAATGACATGTGATGTTTTCTCAGATCTTTCAATGGCAAAAATGTTTCTGCAAGAGAGCAGAGAGTCAGTCGGATCATAATGCAATTCTATTAGATGAGGAACAGAAAGAATTCCAAGATATTTCAGAAGAACCAAGCATTTTTAGGATTGTCAGTTATCAAAAAATATATATACATATACATATGTACATATCTATATAAATATATGAGGAGCTCTGGTGGTGCAGTGCCTAAGGAATTTGACTCCTAACCAGAAGATTGGCAGTTCAAACACACCAGCCACTCCTTGGAAGGAAGATTGGACAATCTACTTCCATAGTGATACTGCCTCAGAAATCCAAGGAGGGGTCAATATGAGTCAGATCCAACTTGATGGCAGTGAGTTTTGAGATGTATATATGACTCAGTATATATATATATATATA